TCCGGGACTTTTACTGCCCTAACAAGGAAAGGTTAAATTCCTTCAAGTCTTTGTCCTTGATACTGCTATGTCACTTTATTTGCAATCTACACAGATCATATGAATCCCTTTGTAAATGTCATTACAATAGTTCTCCTTTGCATGACTTTATTCTGCAAGACTCCAAAGTAAAACTTGTTGGGAATTTTCCCACAATATATTTGTTTGTATCAGAAAATGCTGACTTGCTGAACTGCAACTGTTTTGTGGGAAAGTATTTGTTCCAGTAAGGCTTCTCAGATTCAGTATTGAACTTCTGGAAAAAAACAGTGAAAAACAAACTTTCCCATCTTTTTCTTCAAACTAGACGGCTGCTCAGCGCCGGGGCACTCCCGAGGGGCTTGAGTCCCTCCAATGCAGCGTGGCAGCCTCTTTCTGGGCCAGTATGCGACGGCACGGGAGCTTCAGATGGGGTAAGAGGGACTGCTCCGGCTGGATTTTGTTTTTTAAGCCTGCTTCCATCAGCAAGGTCCAAATTTTATTTCAATTAGAACAAAACCAAATTTTGAAACATATATTGTTTTCCAAAACATTAATGTTTCGTAGACATTCTTACACTAAGCCTGCACTAATAGCCTCAGAGATCCATTAGTATCTTCCTAAAATGCAGAGGACAGGGTTGCTCTAGTTGGGATCTGTAACTCATCTGCAGTCCTCCTTAATCTCTGTGCTTTGTAGAAGACATTTGGGTTTGCTGTTGCAAATCTCTACATCTGTGAGATGCTATGAACAAACTTACAGCAGCTAGTTAATGTAATGACTCACGCACTCGATGCCATCACATTATGCACTGATAAAGCTTTTACTAAAGTCAAGAGAAAATTTTCCGCTGGACTTCACTGCAAATATGCTATGTTATGCTGTGCCCTTCTATCTTGACTGTGATACTGGATCTTGCTTTATTTCATGACGTTCAGATGCTACCAACATTGCATTTAGATCAATCACTCATCTCTATGATGACAGGCAGAGATATCAACTCTATTTTTAGAGAGTGAGAACTCAGCAAACCTGGCTTCTTTTCTCTGACTTTGTCACTGACTTGCTTTCACTATAATTATTTGCTCACTTTAGCAAATAATTGTATGATTCTACGATGCAATGAAATGTAAGCACTAGGAAATAACATTTTGGTTAAATACTACATAACATTGCTCTTAACCCCCATTTACTTAATAGTGATTTCACAATCAGGATATTATTATGCTGTTTCAATGCACATTTGTTACAATAATGAAGTACACTTACCTAGATGCAACACAAATCATATTTAATCAAGAGCAAACAATCTCAGATAATAACCAACTAAGAATTGCAACGATATGCCACCAATTTCATTTGTATCACTTTCCTTTTATCAATAAATAGTGTTACAAACTATTTCGATATCAATTGTTTGCTTTTGTTCTGAAATGCTCTGTAATACTGATTGATGTTTATGACTAGGTCTTTACTTATTGGCATGAATCCCATAAAAGTTCTCTGGCTAATGAGATAATTAATTTTCCATCCCGCATAACTCTGGTTTCAAACTACGTTTAGATAGTAATTCTTACAATACGCAAATTGTTTTAAAATGAAAAGCAAACAAACAAACTGCCCTTTCATAAAACTGGCAGAGAATCCTGGGAAAACAGAGTGTTTTCTTCATCAAAGTAAATGGTATCATAGACTTCTACCACCTTTTAAGTTTAAGCTAACATTCTGAGAAAAAATTGCTCCTCCTTACTTCACAAAAACTCACAGCTGGATTCTTTGTCTCACATGCTCCTGCTTGACTTGTGCAGTACCCACCTTCCTGAGTCTTTATCAGAAGGATGCTGCTTAAGCAGATGGATTCTTAAAGTAAAATTCAGCCCTAAGTTTTATTTCTTAATCTTCAGACGTAAGTTTTGCTTTGGAACAATATGTTTATCATACTTACATGTGGAAATATTGTAAAAATAAGTCAAAGTATAGTATTTCAATATATTGTACATCCTATGTTTTTACACTGCTGTTTTTAATGTATTCCTCAAATACATTAGGATTTACTACTTCTCCTGAGAGTGGTAAGTGCACAGGTTTCCAACAAGTGGTAATAGTATAGTATTACTACCATTCCTATTGCATTTGATTCCTTAAGGATGACTGAAAATAAAATGGTGAAATTAGTGGTTTTCTGTAAGGAAAAAAAAATTTCCATGCTTGGAAACAATGAATACTTGTTCCTAACAGTGAGATATATAAATATATTAGAAATATGGGCCAGTGACTGAAGAAAATCAACAGACACTTAAGAAATTCCCATGCAATAAGCATCTGTGGGTAACAGTATTTTACATTTGGAAACCATTTACATCAGCCATGTCTTAAACCAGAGTTGTAACTGGAAGCTGATGCTACAACTCCAGTCCTGCAAACCTCCCCAGCCAGGGCTGCCTGTCAGCCTCCAACCATTGATGGACAATAAACACCTTTGCCTTTTTACCTGTGGGCCCCACCGCATCTCTGACTGTGAACCATTCAGCACAAAGCATCGTAACACAAACAACACTCACGCCTGTGCATATTGTGCAGGTCTGTATTCACTGCTGCAGAGGGAGGATGTGGTAGGTGAGAAATAGCCACTGACAAAGGGAGAAGATAAAATGATTAAGGAATGATAGAGCTGTACCAAGCCTTCTTGAGGATGTGAAACCACAGCCAGCTCACACTCGTCTTGACTCCGCACCAGGGAATGCAGTGGTTTCATGTGTCATTTCAAGAAATGCTTTTGGTACATTTTAAGGAATGATGCAATGATTTAATAAGCAGATAATGTATCATAGATATATCATAGAGAACACTCTGCCTGAAATCCCAGCTCCATGAAAATCAGTGTGGTTGCTACTCTGATTTTGTGTTGTACGTTTGCTATTTCTCCTCCCTCTTTCGTTGTTTTCACTTGTCCCCAGTTACAAAGCTGTTTGATACATGCCGTTATACCAGGACTCATTAAAAGCACTGCAAACGGTTAATTACGTTCTCAGAACACAAGTTTGCACCAAATGACAGAAAACTATTTTTTATTTGAAGAAACAAAAATGACTAATTTCTCCTCTCAACTGTTGTTTAATGGACACGCTGTGGGAAAGGGGGAGAGGGGGATTACTAAGCTCTAAAAATGGGCTGTCCATCTGAGGCATGTCTTTATGCATGTCGCATGAAATGCGCGACATTCTGTTGGATGTGACTTTAAAGCAGCTCAAGCCCGCTATAGGTTAAACACGAGAACATAAACACCTACATTAAATCTGAACAGACAATAAAACAAGAAAACACATTTCCATTTTCTGACTGACCTCAATCTCTGAATGAGGACCCCTGCATGTTACATTAGCAGGCTGGGCTCCATTACACTGCCGCATGCTCTGCTCAATCTACTGAAATATTGATTTTTTACAGAGTACATACACTGTAAAATCAATATTCCCATACACGCGGCGGTGGCAACAGCGTAGCCAAGGCCAACTCTGCGGCCTAGCACAGGAGAGAATGCTGAGGGGCCAGGGATACAGCAGGAATGGGAAGACAGGAAACAATCCATCCATGGTAAAATGGAGTGGGATGGGACGGGGCTGAGGCACGAGCAGCGCAGAGAAGGCGCAGGCAGGAAGGCAGGAACATGCTTCATAGACACAGCAGAAAGGCTCGCCCAAGACTTGCAATTTCTGGTTCTGCAGACAAAGGAGCTAAAAAGGAGACAAAATTAAAGTATGTAAAGGTAAGAGATTCGTCTGAGATTATTCGTCCCCTCACACTACGCTTTAATTTATTCTGGATATAAACTAAAAAGAACACATTTTAAAATGTTTTTTCAGGTTATTTCCTTTCTGGGTTCTGAGACGCCAGCACTAATCTTGGCTTAGAAGGGATCCTGCAGCACGGAGGGTGGGCTTCTCCTGCTTGGGCATCCCGCTCCGGGCCAGGCTGCCACTCCTCGCCCAGATTTCATTCAGGCCATGCCTGGGCGTGACCAGCTGCCATCCCAGCACGGTGGGTCGCTGGGCTGCTGGCTGAGGAGCAGCCACGGACAGCGGCATGGCTTGGGTCTGGTCACCTGAATTCCATGTACCAGAGAAAACGATGGCAGGAATTGTCACTTTTAAATGCGTACATACTCTGTAATAATTCAGGCAGTTTTGTGCTGAAGCGCACTTCGGGATCTGTGCTTTTAATGGCCACGGAAGGCTGGAGAGCCAGGCATGCAGAAGCAGCCAAACCTCCAAAAAACAAGAACCACCTCAGGAGCGTGAAACTCACTTCAGGAAACTGATCCACCTGAGTTTGCGTGTCAGGCACGCCGGGGTGAGGGAACATGCCTGCAAGTGAAGCGTTACACTCTTTCTCGGAATCCTCCCAGTTCGGGGCAGGCACCAGAAACACCCGCGGCTCTCTCGCACACGCGCTCCTCAGCTCACACGGCCGCAGCGCAGCAGGACAGCGCTCGGCACGGAGCCGGGCGGGATGCGCCAAGTTTCCCCGAGTTACGGCACGGGGCCGCGGGCGCACGGCTCACAAACCACCGGCACGCAGCGCCCGGCTCCCCGCCGCCCCGAACCGAGCTGGGACCGGCAGCAACCCCCGCACACAGCCCCTCCCTCGGCACCGCCCGCCCTCCTCTCCCGTCGGCGCTCCCTCCCCCCGCCGCTCAACGGCCGCAACTGCCGGCGGCACGGCCCCGCCCGCGGGGGGGCGGGGGGCGTGGCCAGCGAGGGGGGCGTGGCCTCCGAGCGAGGCGCCTTGGCGCGGAGCGGCGACAGCAGCCGTGACCTCCGACCCCGCCCGCCGCTGGCCAATAAGAGCGCGGCTCGTCCCCGAACCCAAAATTTCCACGTCGGCAAAAGTCAAGATGGAGCGGGGCGGCGCGGGGCGCGCGGACGGAGCCGTCGTGGCCGGACGGGACGCGAGGCCGCACCGAGGCGGGCGGCGGGGGGCGCCGGCGGAGCGGGGCGGACCTGTTGCGCTCGGCGGTGCGGCGGATCGCTGCGCTGCGGCGGAGGGGGGCGTCGCTCCCGCGCGGCGCGAGGGGCCAGGGCCGGCGGCGCGGCAGGGGGCGGCGGGGGCTGAGGGGCGGCGGCCGTGCCGCGCGCTGTCAGCCGGAGCCGGCCGCCGCCGCGGTGCTGGGGCCGCGGGCAGCGCTGCCGCTCCTCGCGGCGCTTTCCGTCGCGCTCCTCCGTTAGCGAAAGGGTTCCTGCGCTTCCCTAACCGTGCCCTCTTCCTTTTGCAGGAGGGGAGCCCCGCTGCCCGCGCCCGAGGAAGATCCGGTCTCCTGAAGCAAAGTTCTGTGACACTCAGACTCTGGTTACGATAGCAGTCAGTGCACTACAGAACTTTGTCTCCGGGGGCTGCGGCGGCGGAGCGGCTCGCTCAGGTGGACACGTCACTGCTCCGCCGTGGCAGGCCCGGGGAGCGCCCGGCCCGGCCCCGCGCTCGGATGAAAGCTGTGCCGCTGCTGCCCCTGGGCCTCCCGCGACCTTCTGTCGTCGGTGTCGGGGATCGCGATAGTGCGACGTCTGGGGGTCTGGAGGGTACTGGAGTGCGGTCAGTGCCTGACCTGAGCATGGGCTTGAACATGACACCGAACGTGGTGCTGGTGGAACTGAGCCGGGTGTGGGTGTGCTAACCTGCCAGGCACGGCTCCTGGTTGTGCTTTGTTCTGTGTGTGACAGAACCGTAGATGAACTGAGGGCTGGGGCTGGAGAAAACACTTCATACTTAAAGCAAAGAAGCTGTGACATCATGTTCTATTGTGACTTCTATGTAAGTTTGCTGTTTGAATGCTTTGGTGTGGCCTGGTGGCAATGAGCTTTCTTTCCTCTTTAGGAACCTTGCAAGTCCCCAGCTGCTGTCAAGTAATAGTTACCTGAATCTGAGTCTCTGCTTCTTCAGAAGTTGTGTGATGTGCCTTGAGCCAGTGCTGCAGTGCTTGGTCCTCACCCCAAAGGGAGGGAGTGCTTTGGAAGGGCCAATGGAACTCGTGCTTATTGATACAGTTCCAGCGTTCTGTACTAGAAACTTGTCACCTGTGTTACGATTAACATGGACATAGGCTTTAAGGGCTGGGAAAGGCCTAGCTTGACTAAATTCCACCTCAGTTAAGTTGAAGCTTGGCAGCAGTAAAAGAGCAGCCCTTTTCTCTTCAGAAACTTTGTGCAGTTATTTAATATATAAATGCAACTGTGGATCTCTGAGATGGTGGGCATCCTCAGCTGGTCAGCTCTGAACATAGAGTAATAGGAAAGGCAGGAATTGCTGAAGAATGGGTGGAGTAGGTAGCGCCATTTCTAAAATATTAATCATTATGTACAGTAGAGTTAGTGAGTGAGGCTCCTTTCACAGTGGCTGCATTCTGTGGGAAGTTAGTTATGCTACTTTGTGTGTGTGTGTATATATATATATATATACATACACACATATGTATGTGTGTGTGCTTGTCTGTGTATATATATAAACGTTAGGGGGCTCATATTCTGTTAGCTCTCTGTAGCTAATCATCCCCTTTGGGCTCACTGGAAACTTAAACTAACTTTTCTTTCCTGCCCATCTGAATGTGGAAGATACAGCTAGATTATACACTTCATGGAATTGAGCTGGAAGCTGAAATGCTATTCTAAGTAGATGTTTTTTAGCTCAAACTGTTTAATCAGAGGGTAGGTAAAGTGAGGAGCACTTACTGTATGGCAGCCCACGTGACCAGCTAGGGCTATATTTGGATACTGGAGGTTTAAGGAATCCTTTTTGCTAACCATTTTTGGCCAATTGCCTGCTGCTTTATGTTGTGCAGTGTGTGACGTCTGCTAAAAAGGACTTGGAAGTGTGGTGTCTGCAACTGTTTAATCAGTGTGGTTATAGGGAAACACCTTGTATTGCTGGGGCTGTAGTCCCACTATATTTAATTTAGGGGTGGTTCCTGCCTAATAGGATATGTAGTGCAAATTGCAGCTTCCAGTTTTTGTACTACTAAATAGACTTTCTGAGAGCAGTAGATCTTAAAAAGATTTTTCTCAGATTTGCTGGCTAAAGCTGTGGATGATCATAGATCTGAAAACCCACAGAAATGAGCACGTGTGTATTCCTTCAGGGAATGTGGCACATTCAAATTGTAGCTTAGTTCAGCGTAGCTTCAGCCTGGTTGTAACTTCAGAATAGGGATGAATAACACGCTTGAATCCAGCAGTGGTGCGAAGAAAGAGTTCATCGCTTTTGGAGCCTGTTCTCTGCCTGCTTTAGCTCCATGCTGCTCAAGCTGGGTAGCTGTGACAGTGAGGTGAGTACAGCTTGGCCTCCCAGTGGCCCTTGGCTTGTCCTTGCCGCATGCCTGTGACACGCAGTGCCTCCTGTCCTACAAGTCCTACTGGAACAGTGACCTTTTGGTGGCACTTCTGCTTTGATATGGGAGATCACGTGCCCTTAAGGAAGGACTAAAGAGCTCTACGCTTCAGGTTTTGTGCTTTATTCTTGTCTTGAAATGCGTTGGTCATAATGGTCCTCTGGCAGTGTAGGCTTCCTGGCCTTGTTACAACTTTGGCCATCAGAACCATGTACCAAAAAGCAATGTGCTACGTGGTATGTGCAGATTTTGTTTTATGCCAGCTCTTATGTGAGGCACGTGAAAGAGCTTGAAGTGTGTGGCTGTACCTGGGGCCTTGTGTGGGGTGTAAAGGGTTCTGTCTTATCCTTTAAGAGTGATGTTTGTGGGAGATGATGTAGGAACAGGAAACAAAACAAGAAAACAACACCCCATAACTGGTGATGGTATTTAAAATAAAGTCTGAATGTCAAACTACATAACTGCATTGATATGACTTATTTTCCAGTGGCTTTTCAGCCATTTCTCCGAGGTAACAAATTGCTAGAGGCATGTTCTAACCAGCTGCTTTACATTTTAGTCCTTTTTGAAAACCTGAAGTGTCTGTTTAATTGTGTCCCTTACTTAATTGGAAGAGCAGCAAATGAGCGTGCTGAGTAAATCACACAAATTTCCATCAAGCCCTTCATTTGAAGGGGCAGAATCCCAAGAAATGATACCAACCCAAGAAATGATACCAACCTATTTATTATTTTGGAAGCTGGAGAACAGGAAAGGAGCTTGCTGTCAAATACTCTGAAAGTGAAAGCTGAATGCATCTGCTATGGCCCAAGGGAATATAGACTGAAGGCAAGCTGCACAGCCTGTGTGTACTTAGTCTCAGGATGCTACTGGGCATGATGCATTGAGGACAATTCTTGTGACTTCCAGAGATTACACTTTATGCTGGTGAATTTTTAAGCACAAATATAACACTTCCATCTGTAGCCTAAAAATGCTGTAGAAAGTGGTGAAAAGAATAAATTTTGTACATGTGCTTTCATTGAACTAAACTGTACTGCTTCACTAAAAACAGAAGTAAACTTGCTGACTTCTAGCAACTGTATGATAAACAATTTATAAATAGACCATAGGGTCCAGTGAAATACAAACAAAGTATTGGAAGTCATGAGCTGACTCCAAAAAGAAGTGACACTGGGATGTTTATATCTGTTGCCTGGGCAGCTATGTTCAAGAAACATCTCTGGGTCCAGTCAAACTGAAGCACTGTGGAAGCTCACTCAGAACGGGCTATGTGACTGTGGCTGTGTTTCAGTGGGTTGTGGAGTTCCATTTGTTTGGCTTTCAGCATTAGTGATGGCCCTTTCTCTGAGTCTTAAGGAAAGCAGGATGGAAGTGCTCTGCAGGGTACGTGTTACCCACACAAGGCTGTGTGTGCCAGCATTGTCAGCTGCAGAATGGGAAGCAGAGCTGTTGCAGCCATGGAGTACTTCAGTAGTACCTCTTGCCTCATAGCTGGAGGAGGCCAAACTGCTTCTGGGGCAGTGAGTTGAGAGTGTGTGGGCTCTTGGTGCAAACTGGAACTGCTATGCAATCCCAAGCTTATTTTCTGCTTTATTTTGGGAGGGAAGTGGCATTTGCAAAAAAACAAAAAATCTATTTTCTTGCTTTCTGCAACAGGCTAGAAAATCAACTACATTTAATTGTGCTTACTGTACTCCAGAAATAACCTTTTATGTGATTGAGCTTTATTTGTTGAATTACTGGTGCTGATGGTATTGAAAATAGCTCAGTGCAGCTGAACCTATATTTAAGGCACAAGGTGTTGTACTGAAACCTCACTGTAATTAACTGCAGACTGAGGGAGCTGGAACTTGGCTTCATATAGCCAACACAAAAGTAATTACATGCTGGATTATACCAGCATAACTTTCACAAGTAAGCATACAAAGTCCTGTGCTTTATGAATAAAAAGCATTAAGCTGCTGATGTATGGTTGAATGGTTGCCACTTTATTTTGATTTGGGTTGGACTGTGAAGCAATACTGGCTTTCTGTGCAACACTGTTTTTACCCAGTTTTCATCTGATGGCTCTTACCTTTTCAGTTTTGAAAACTACATCCTTGTAGCAATGCTCGGCCTTCTGCAGAGCTGCTGTAAATGCTCTTCAGCTGTAGTAAAGTTCTGTATTTCTGATTTTTTTATTTCAATAGAAACCTCACTAGTGAATGTTGAGCTGCTTGTACATTAACATCCTTAATGTGTAGCAGTAAGTCTGTAGTACCTTGCAGGGCTATTTGTTGTGAGAACATTGCTCACCAGAGACCCACACTAGTGAGTAATAGTGTGTTTAAGTAGTCCTATTCAGGTGAGCAAAAGGCTCTCTGTACTGTGCATTTTGTCAGCTGAGTGACTTATGAGATGTTTAAGTACAGGTGTGAGCAAATAACACACCACATGGTTGCGAGTTGTAGCATGGAGTAGTTAGTGCCATGAATCATAGAATCATAGAATCACCAAGGTTGGAAAAGACCTAAAAGATCATCCAGTCCAACCGTTCACCTATTCCCAATAGCTCCTACTAAACCATGTGATCTGCTTAAGAAGGACAGTGGAATAGTCTTAATACTTGTGGTAATGCGAGAAGTCCAGAGTAGTAGAAGCTTCAGGAATCAAAAAGTATTTCACAAATAAATGGGTTGATCTGAAGTGGAGAGAGTTGGAAAGTGTGTCTGCATTGGGAATGTGGTGAAGGATCACTGATGAGAGTAGTAAGGGAAGCAGACCCTGCTCATTCCTCCAGCCCAGTAATGGGAGACCTTCCAGCAGCAGGCGGCAGGGTTGCTAGAGCTGTGCTGGTGAGTGCCGTTGTTCTTGCCATACTGACTGTGAGCATGTCTCAAAATCCCACCTGCCTACAGTAGCTCCTTCAGGTCCTGCTGCCCTGGGAAGGTACAGAAAGGATAGTTTCAGCTGGAGAAAACGTACTTAGATATAGCAGTCAGCTCTCATGCTTTGGTTTTGTTTTCCAGTCGTTATACTCAAAGAATGGTTTTACCTTTTCTGCTTGCTTTATCCCACAGCTGCTTCTACTGCTGTTTATGGCAACACAATCTTTCATTTATAAAGTGGGGGCAGAGAGGAGGAAGGGTTAGATAAGATCAGTGTTAAGCATATAATGATCAGTTTTGACTCCAGAGTGTTTTCTGTGTGAAAAGCAAAAGTCGGGTCCCATTGGAAGAAGGTACATGCTTGCTTTAACTATCCAAAGTAGTAAAACATGGGATTAAATGTTCTTTGAAGAAGGATTTTCATTTCCCTGGGTGACAGTTAATCTGTCACAAGCAGTGGGCTTTGCTTTTCACTCATGGTTGTACCTATGAGTGGAAGCACTGAGGCTTGGAGACCTGTGTAGAGCTTTCACAGTTCACAGAAGGGGCCTATGGCAGCATGGAAGGGTTGGGAAGGTGAGGCTGACAGAGCCAATGGTGGTGCCACTCACCAAGTAGCATCATATAAGTGTGAAGGCTCCAAATAATAATGGATATCTGTGCTGTTTTTCAAGCTTTTCAAGACTGCTCTTATTTTCTCTCCAGTCGCATCTCTGTCCTCTGCATCACTGTTAAGGCAAGGAGCTGATGGCATGGAGCAAGCTGTGGAGCAAAGGTGCATTTCATTCTAACTGACTTTTAAAGATGAGCCCTTGTAGTCCTTGCCTTGAAGAGCAAATATATGAGAGAACATTTGCTCTGCTGTTGCTGAGACTTTAACACAAGTGTGCTCTCACACAGATACTGCTAGAGGGACTGGGAGGAAGAAGGCAGGAATGGGAGTGTGAGTGCAGCTTGGGGGCAGGCAGAGGGTGAGGAGCAGGAGGTGCCATGAGTTGCCAGAGGAGCAGGATTTGGGTTCTGCTCTGAACTTAGATGTCCATATGATTGCCATTTGGTAAGTACCTCCTGAGACGTTAAACTGCCAGACTATATGTTGACCAAATGAACTGAAGAGCTTCATCTGTAATTGTAGTGTATAAATGGAACCCTTACCTCTTGAGATGCTTTAATAAGTACCTGAAATGTAATGTGCATGAAATATGTCACTTGCATAACATGTTACTCTACATTTCTGCTGTGCATTAATTTGAAAAGAACTGGGCTCCAAATTCTTAATTCTCATGGCTTTTCATGATACCATAGCAATCCACTATTTGAAATACCATTTACTAAGCAAAACCAGTGAGGGCCATCAGTGCTCAAACAGTTGTTGTTGGGGAAAAAACCCACTATAATTAACTATCTTCTTTAGAGAGAAAGAAGAGACTGTATGGAGTGCTGCCAAGAAAGTAGAGCTGTTCTTAACCCTTGCACAGTAAATAAAATCAATATGAGTAACAAACTACTAAATGAGGCAGGAAGGCTCATGAGCTGCAAGGGGTGCAAGTTTTACACAAAAGCATTGTGACTGTTTGAAGAAATACAACATGGATGGTGAAAATTTGGACTTGCAAGCTGGCAGCCCTAGGCAGAGCTGAAAGGAGGAGGCACTGCGTGGTGGTCAGTCGTGCCAACAGGAAAAGTGAAAGCAGAGATGGACAGTTGAGGGCACTGCTCTTATGAAGGATATTTGCAAAAATGTTTGGAAACAACCTGTTCAGCTGAGGATCAGTTGTAGGCTTAAGAACAGGGTGGCCTTTTGGAATGTTAATTTTGTAGTTTCATTGAGTGTGGTGTTTTCCATGTGGATTTGATTAAGCAGTAAGAATATAAATACAATGAAAATGAAATCTTGTCTTTAAAAGATTCTCTTCTTGAAATTCTGTGCTCCTGGCTTGAAGTTAAGCATCCAGTTCTGGGTTACATTTCTGATCTATGGTTTACTCGTGTGAACTGTATTGTTTAAATTTGTGGGTTAAATTTAGTTATAATTGGAATCAAGTGAACAAATGGGGGGAAATGCAGTAAAGGCAGGTCTTAACTGCATGTGAATGAAGCAGGAACATGGTTGGTGTAGCTCAGAGCCAGGCTTGCAGCACTGAACTCTTCAGCACCTTCTTCAGCTTTGCAAGGGCTGGTTTAATGGCCAGCAGCATTTTGGGGGAAAGCTGTTGAAAGTACAAAATGTTTGCTTGCAGGCCCAGATTTATCTTACTGTCAATTCTTTTAACGTTGTGCTCATGTTAAACCAGAGGCTTCTTGCTAGAGTAACGTTAAAAGCACTTCTTATGCATGAAGGTGAATGTGCCGCTGACAGTCACCCCTCCAGCTGACCTGACGGTATGCAGCAGAAACACTGCTGGTTAGGTACAGCTTCCAGCAAAATGCTGACACTTAGTCATGCTCAAAGTTACTGAATGTGAAAAGATACCTGAAGAACTCAATTTCTTCTGTCTACAAATTGGATTTTATAGTCCCAAGACTGAAATACTTCCCCGCAGTAAGAATAAAAGGCATTTGTGAGAGGAATTGCTGTTGGATCACACATTCTAAACTGATGCTATTTATTCTACTTCATGGACTGTTTTTTGGGAGAGGAAGAATGTACGTGCATATATTTAGATAATCATGTATCATTTAAGACATATTTATATATGTATATACATAAGTATGATGTTAGGTTTTGTTGTCTATGTTGCTTTTTCCATGCATGTGGCCTACAGAAGGGCCTCTATGGACACAGAATTTGCTTCACCAGTATCTTACTTCAGACATTAACTGTGATCTCTTATAAAAGAATTTACTACACTGCCTGGCAGGCAGGAAGGCTGAAGGAGGAATGCCCATGTGTAGCACCAGGCACGTGGTAGCAGAGTGGGGAATTTCTTCTGAGCCTTTGTGGTGATAAGTCCACCTAGTCCAGGGAGCCTGATCCCTGAAGGACAGAAGAACTAAGGGATATGTTCACAGGCATTTAGGGAATTTTCATCACTTTTGCTTCTTTTAGAAAAACAGTTGAGATAGCAAGTATGTTTGGTGTTGTGAACCATTGTGAAAACACAAAAACTCAAGAGAGTAATTTACTATCTAGTCATTAGAGACTTTTTTCAGAAGTATGCAAAAATTCTGATCAAACAGGGAAGAAAAGTTAAATGTAAGAATATATGCACAAAGGATGTGCTATGGGGAAAGACACAGCTGATTATTTTACAGTGCTTGAAGCACTAGAATTTGGGAAATGTACTATAGCTGAGATAGAGCCAGCATTTCTGGTTTAGGAGAGTGTTGATGTGTCCATTTGGCTCAGTCTGGTAGCTTCTCTGGCAGAGATATGCCACTGTCAACTGAACATCCTGTGTGACAGATATGGGGGAAAACCAGGTGTGGAGGCTCTGAGCAGCTTTGGAAATAGCTGCTGGGTGTGAGGCAAAAGCTGTTCAGGTTGCATCTGTTTGAATCATCAGTGTGCAAGCAAGACTGAAGATGCCAGATATCTGTGAGTTCCACCTTCTAATGCAGAACGGGAGAAGCTGAAGGTGTGTGTTAACAAAGCCAGCTGGGGCATGTGAGGGTTGTTTCTGGGACTGTTTATTCTTTACAACTCCTTGACAAGGGCTTGGAGTAAGGTGGGGGTTGGCCTTTTCTCCTAGGTAACAGCGATAGGACAAGAGGTAATGGCCACAAATTGCACCAGGGGAGGTTCAGATTGGATATTAGGAAAAAGCTCTGACACTGGAGATGCATGGGAACAGGCTGCCCAGGGAGGTGGTGGAGTCACCATTCCTGGAGGTGTTCAAGAACCGTCTAGAGCTCTGGTGGGTTAGGTGGTAACCAGAACAAAGCACAGATGTATTCAAACAGAAAGCAGCTTTGGCCTTAATCCATAGGTGTGAGAAGTTGCATGCCTGTTCATGAACGAAAGTTATCTGAAAGTCAGTAACACATTCCTTGTGCTTGCCCAAATGAACTGGAAAATACTTTAGATTAACAAATGCCTGAGATGCAGGTTGAATATAAACAGAGAAGAGACTTAGTGTTACAAATCTACTCTGTGAA